TTTTATTTATTTATTTTTTTTGAGACGGAGTTTCGCTCTTGTTACCCAGGCTGGAGTGCAATGGCGCGATCTCGGCTCACCGCAACCTCCGCCTCCTGGGTTCAGGCAATTCTCCTGCCCCAGCCTCCTGAGTCGCTGGGATTACAGGCACGCGCCACCATGCCCAGCTAATTTTTTGTAGTTTTAGTAGAGACGGGGTTTCACCATGTTGACCAGGATGGTCTCGATCTCTTGACCTCGTGATCCACCCGCCTCGGCCTCCCACAGTGCTGGGATTACAGGCTTGAGCCACCGCGCCCGGCTTCATTTACTTTTCAGAACCTCCTAGGGCACCTCCTCTTTGCCAAAAAATGGTGTAGTTGTAGACCTTTGAGGGAGATAGATGACTATAATTCTCAGGGCTTTGAGCTATATAATATATGAGTGATGATATTTGCAGAGCCCCTACTATAGCCAGAGAGTTCTTTCCATTATATAGGTATTGATCGACTTACGACCTGTGCAACTTATGACCATTCGACTTTACGACCACAATCGCTAGCCACGACTGCTCCACGTCTGGCAGCGCAAACGTTGCCCATCTGGGCGTACGACAGTGCGGACCAGCTTCCGGCAGCACTACCATCTCCGCGTACACCATTTCAACTGTTATCCCAGACTCGGTACAGCAATTTGTGTTTTGTGTCTTGGATATTTTTAATCAAACCCCTCCCAATAAACTTCTTATACATTTCGAAGCAATGGACCCAAACATCGAACAATTTGCAAGGATTGAACGGATGGCGCATGATGTGTTCCGTCCGTATCATGAAATTTATGAAGAAAAAAAAGAAACATACAATTCAGACAAAGCTCACCATGTTTATGAAAAAAACCAACTCCGGTAACCCCAACTGCTGCCTCAGATGATGACATCAACGATCCACAGCCAAGCACCAGCGGCCAATAAAATGTTTCATACATGTTTATATATTTTGATATGTTTTACAATTGGGAAAATGTTTCCTATGGTATTTTTTACACATGTATTTTGCATTTTTATATGTACCTGTATTTTGTAATTTTGTATGTTTTGCAAATATTAAACCAGTTTTACTGGTAATGCAGTGTTTTACTTAAACCTGACGAATGTAAAAATAAGAAACAAAATGGTGTAGAGATGATACAAATGGCATAAAATGAACAAAGAAAATTATGATATATAACAATAATAAAATTATGATAAAATATGACTTAAAGATTTTTATAATATCATTTCACAGTACTGTACATATAGCCTACTCAACTTACGACCAAATCGTGTTATGACCGGTCTGTCGGAGCTGATCGTGGTCGTAAGTCAAGCACTAGCTGTATTCACTAACCCTTTCAGAGGCAGAAACTCCTGACTCTGACAGGCAAGACCCATGTCTGCCAAACCCCAAGACCCATGATGTGTAAGGGGTCTTGCAGGGATACCAAGAGTTGGAGATGCAAGGAAACGCAAGTGTGAAGTCGGGCAGCCAGGGAAGCATGTTGTGTGTCAGCCAGCACCAGGTGTGGCCCAGAGTGTGAGAGATAGGTAGATCTGGCTCCACTCCCATGGATTTCCTTACTGTTTCTCCTGGGTGCTCAGGCCTGTCACACCTCTGCCATCATTTGACCCTAGGTGCGAGGGTTCAGCCCAGAAATTTTAAGCAATTGATTCCTGATTTCTCAGGTTTCCTGAATCCTGGCCTAGAGTGATTTCCAAAGAGAAATCTTCACCATTTCTGCTTGTCTTACCTCCTTGTATTTACCTTTCTAGGATGGCCTTTCCTACATTTAGTCAAGTCCAGGTTCAGGCCTACGTGCAGGCTATAGATCTTCTCTTCCCACACCACTCCCAGTATCTATCTGGAGTCTCCTTGCCTGGACCTCCAGACCCTGGGAAAGCCAGACCTCCACCCTCCACCACAACCTGGGGCCAGATCCCTCTCCTCTCTGTCCTGAGCTAAATCATTTTTCTTATCATACGGAGTTCACTCTGTCGCCCAGGCTGGAGTGCAGTGATCTAGGCTCACTGCAAATTCCACCTCCCAGGTTCAAGCGATTCTTCTGCCTCAGCCTCCTGAGTAGCTGGGACTACAGGTGTGTGCTACCATGCCCAGCTAATTTTCGTATTTTTAGTAAAGATGGGGTTTCACCAGATTGCCTAGGCTGGTATCGAAATCCTGACCTTGAGATCCGCCTGCCTCAGCCTCCCAAAATGCTGGGATTACAGGTGTGTGCCACTGTGCCCTGCCTAAATCTTAAGCCCACTATTTACCATGGGTATAGGTCACTTAAACTGTAAAAATGGAGCTAAGGGTTGGTGCTGAGTTGTTGAGAAGATAAAGTACAAAAGCCTCAGGGACTTTGCACCTATGACTTTCTGCCTAGAGTGTTCTTTGTCTTCCCTGTACACACAGACTTCCCACCCACTAAAACCGTACCCTCCCTGAGGGTAGGGTAGAGATGTTATTTGTTCTGTTCACAGCAGTGTTCCTAGGACCTAGCAGTGTCTGATGTATATTAAGCACTCAGTTAATATTGGCTGGATGCAAAATGAAAAATATAAATATACTGAATAACATAAAATAACTTTTTGAACAGTTAGAGCTGTACAAATAATAATTACTCTCCCAGACAGTGGCTCCCCGTCACCTCCTATATCCCCTGTATTACCCTCTGTTAAAAGTCAAAATTAACTAGGCATGGTGGCTTATGCCTCTAATGGGATCTGAGACACTGAAATGAGAGGATTGCTTGAGCTAAGAAGTTTGAGACCAGCCCAGGCAACATAGTGAGACCCCATCTCCACAGAAATATTTTCAATTAGCCAGGGGTGGTAGCATGTGCCTGAATCCCAGCTCCTTGGAAGCTGAGGTGGGAGGATTGTTTGAGCCCAGGAAGAAGAGGCTACAGTGAGCTATGATCACACCTCTGTGCTCCAGCCTTGTCAACAGATCAAGACCCTGTCTTAAATAAATAAACAGTGAAAAAAGCACCAATATTGTAATTGCCTCTGTCCCAAGGTGGGGGTTCCTCAATGGCCCTCCCCAGCAAGTGTTCCTCTGGATGCCCTACCTGGGGCAGAGGATCCAGAATATGGAGGAAATGGCTGTGGTGGGGAGGGACTCAGTCCTGTATCTTTCCCACCCAGTGCCGTCCCTGGAGGAAGAATGCCTGCTGCACGGCCAACACCAGCCAGGAGCTGCACAAGGACACCTCCCGCCTGTACAAGTTTAACTGGGAGCACTGTGGCAGGATGGAGCCCGCCTGGAAGCGCCACTTCATCCAGGACACCTGTCTCTATGAGTGCTCACCCAACCTGGGGCCCTGGATCCAGCAGGTATGAGTGCTGTTCCCACAAACATCACCCTCAGCAGACGGCAGAGCCTGCCAGCCACTTGCAGGGAGGGTTTGGTCCAGGAATTCGGGTCTGAGGGTGGTGGAGGCCCTCCCCCCTCCCACAGCTCTGGTTCCCTTCAAGCCTGCAGCTGCTGAGATACATGGCTGACAGGAGCCTTCCCTCTCCTCCCCACCCAGGTCAACCAGAGCTGGAGCAAAGAACGCATCCTGAACGCGCACCTGTGCAAAGAGGACTCGAGCGCTGGTGGGAGGACTGTCGCACCTCCTACACCTGCAAGAGCAACTGGCACAAAGGCTGGAATTGGACCTCAGGTGAGGGCTGGGAGGAGACCAGATGAGGAGTGGGAGTGGGGCTTTGGGGTTGGGAGGGGTGCGGTCTGGCCCAAAAGCTAAGGGTCTCATGGTCTCCTCCCTCAGGGATTAATGTGTCCGGCCGGGGCCCTCTGCCGCACCTTTGAGTCCTACTTCCCCACTGCAGCCGCCCTTTGTGAGGGCCTCTGGAGTCACTCCTACAAGGTCAGCGACTACAGCTGAGGGAGTGGCCGCTGCATCCAGATCTGGTTTGACTCGGCCCACGGCAACCCCAACGAGGAGGTGGTGAGGTTCTATGCTGTGGCCATGAAGGCTGGGGCTCCGTCCCGTGGAATTTTGGGACCGTGAACATTGGTTCCTGATCCAAGAAGGGTCCCCTGGGGTTCCTCCGACAACTCATTCTAATAGACAGATCCACATGTGTCTTGTGTCTTGTAATTTGGGGACGAGTGGGTTGGAGGGACACATGCTTCATCTTTTCCACTGATAAGCCCCAAATCAGACTGGAACTAGCCTGACGTTCACTGGGAAGTAGGGTGTAGAGGTTGAGCTAGAATACAGTATCTGACCCCTTAGTCTGGGTCTCTTATTGCTGCGCTGGCTTTCCCCTCACACCAAGCTCATCCCACCCACAGTACATACAGGCAAAGACACAGATGGAGGGAAGGTGGGCAGAGGTAGCCAGTGAGCTACTGGGCTTCAAGTTGGGAAGTTTCTTTCAAGCTGAGAGTTTCTTTACCATTCCCTCACTAGATATGGGCTGGTTGGAGATATTGGTGGGGAGGAGGGTCTCAATGATGAACTAATTCATTCATTCATTTCAGACAGGAGTCTTGCTATGTTACCAAGGCTGGTCTTGAACTCCTGGCCCAGGCGATCCTTCCTCCTTGGCCGCTCAGAGTGCTGGGATTATAGGCATGAGTCATTGTGCCTGACGTACTTTTTAAAAAAAATGACAACTAATGTTGCAATTAACAATCTTTTACTAAGTGGAATGTTGTACTTAAATTCCAGAAGGATTATTGGGTCAAGAGTACATCTAATTTTGAGAGTTACAACTTTATGGGGGTTGTAGCAATGTGCCCCCCCCATACCAGCAAAGTATGAGAGTGCCCATCTCTCCGCTGGGTGCGATGGCTCATACCTGTGATCCCAGCAGTTTGGGAGACTGAGGCAGGAGAATCTCTTGAAACCAGGAGTTCAAGGTCAGCCTGGGCAATATGGTGAAACCCTATCTCTACAAAAAACTAAAAAAAAAATAGCTTAGCATGGTGGTATGTGTCTGTAGTCCCAACTAGTAGGGAGGCTGAGGTGAGAGAATCGCTTGAGCCCTGGGAGGCTGAGGCTACAGTGAGCCGTGATTGTGCCACTGCACTCCAGCTTGGGCAACAGAGCAAGACCTACTCTCAAAAAAAAAAAAAAAAAGAGGATGAGAGAGAGAAAGTGCCTGTTACCTCACAACTCACAACCTTGTCAATACGATATACCATCAAACTTTGGTTTTCTGTTCATCTTACAGGTGGGGAAAAGGGCATCTCAGTGCAGTTTTCATCTGTCATGGTTCCTGATATCTGTCCATGGTGACCTATTGAGATCTTAAATTACTGTGTAATAATCCATTCTATGTGCACATTACACTGAATTCAGTCTCCTACTGATGGGCATTGGAAGGAATAGGTTTCTTTTATGATCCTGACATTGCTGACAGCCACAGGCCAGTTATTTGGTAGAATACCCCTCCATTTCGGTTAATCTGTTTCCTTATGATTCATTGAGGTGATGCATTTTGGGCATGAATATCCTACGTGGTTATCTCATGCATCATAATGGGAGCCACGTGGTGTGGGGCTTGCCTGTTCCTGGTGACATTAACTTCGATCTTTTGGTTGAGATCATGTCTGCCAGGTTTCTCCACTACACTTACCCCTTTGTAACTAGTAAATATGTTGTAGGGAGAAATGGAGAACTAGAGATACTCTATTCATCAGTACCCTTCCACCTACATGTTCTACTAACTGATGGACCTTTTTTAAAAAAGTAAATCTAAAACCTAAACACGTCTTATGTTACAACTCTTCCACCAACCCTTCAATGCTTTCCAGTGGTGTCTATTGTAAAAACCAAACTTCTTCAATGGCATAGAAGGTGTGCCCCATCTCTGAGCCCTCAAGCCAAATCTTCCCTGTACCACCTCTGTAAATGAGCTCCAGTCACACTTCTCATGTTGGGGGTCTTTCCTCCAGCAACTCCTTCTCTGCATGCCTGAAATGTTCTTCATTAATCCTCTGCAGGCCTGCCCCTTGTGGCCACTTAGATGGTAACCTACACGTCCCCCTAAAATGACTTCTGACAGCTCAGCCTAACAAAGCCACCCAGCTGATTTCTCATCACACCATTCTGTGCCCTTGTGCAGATTTTTGTCTACTGGGTTTGTTGTACACCTTTCCCTTAACAAAACATACTCTCCCGACAGCAGGGTTGTGTCTATGTCATTTTATGCTCCAACCCCAGGGCCTGGGTCAGTGCCTGGCACTGAGAAGGTGCTCAGTAAGTTAAGGAATCACTGCATCCATTCTGTCAGTCAACTAATGCTTTCTGAGCATCCAGTCCACTGGCCCATGCTGGTCTCAGTTGACAGGAAGGAAACTGAGTTCTTTGCAAGGTCTGGTGGGGACAGACAGTTCTGAGAACCAGTAACTCTTAGAACAATGAGATGAGGCTTTCACAGAGGGAAGCACAGAGTGTGGTGTTGTTCTGCTGAAGCCCACAGAGGTCAGGGAAGGCTTCCAAAGGAGTAATGTTTGCCAAGCACAACAATGGCATTCTGCAGAGAGGTCTCAGCAAGTGCAAAGGTTTAGAGGTAATAGAAGTGCAAGCAGAATTCTAGGGTCGGTGAGATAGAAGTTATGAGGGGAGCTGGGCATGGTGGCTCTCGCCTATAATCCCAGAACTTTGGGAGGCCAAGGCAGGCAGATGACCTGAGGGTGGGAGTCCAACATGGAGAAACTCCGTCTCTACTAAAAATACAAAATTAGCTGGACATGGTGGTGCATGCCTGTAATCCCAGCTACTCAGGAGTCTGAGACAGGAACATCACTTGAACCTGGGAGGTGGTAGTTACAGTGAGCCAAGATTGCACTACTGTACTCCAGTCTGGGCAACAAGAGTGAAACCCCTTCTCAAAAAAAAAAAAAAAAAAAAAAAAAAGGGTTATGTGGGGAGAGGGCAGCTGATTAGGCCAAAGAAGAAACACTCAATCTACATTCGTTAGGATGGTGCCCTGTGGGCCCCTCACAGAGCTTCTCTCCTGCAACTGCTAGGTGAAAGAAGTCAGGCTTAGAATCAGACTAAGATCTGTAGTTTCTGCAGCTGGGAAGATGAGTGCTGTGAGATTGCATGTGATGGGCTGGCACTTAGGGAAGAGCTCAGGTTTCTCTCCTCTCTAACTCTGAGGCCCTTCTTCTGTTCCCTGAGGCCCAGAATCTCCACCTCTGTGAGTCAAACAGCTTCCTATTATCTGCGGCTGGTCCTAGGTCAGCCTTCAGGTTGGGGTTGGAAGGAATGCCAATGGTTAACTTCGTGGTATTAAGCTTCCAGCTCAGGTAGATACTCTCTGGACTGGTTCCAAGCTGGCTGTTTGACTGTTGCTCCCTGCTGGACCTGGCACCCAGATTCCAGATAGGCACACCACCTCATCCTTTGGAGCAGGGCATTGAGGCTCCACAATTGGTGAGGACTCACCAGAGGAACTGAACTTGACCTCTAACCCAAACTTCCATTTGCTGGTTGCTTTTTCTGAAGCCATCATGGCCCAGGGGACTGGCTCAGGGAGCAGGTCTCACTCTTGCAGTGGAGGGGCAATAAAGTCTAGTTGATGATCAGCCCCCAGGCTGGGGGCAGAGAATGAGAGGGCAGGAGCTCCCTCTAGAGGAGCTCCCATCTTCAGGCGTTCCTAGACATCTGTCTACCCTTCTCTAGTCAGCACTGGGGTATAAAGGAGGAAAGGAGGCCTGAGGATTCCAGAGTTCTCCTCCTGCTGAGGTCTTCAGAGGACTCAGCCCTCTGGAAAATACAAATTAAATTCTCAGCCCTCCAAACAACTGAATGGACACCTCTTGGCCAAAGAGACCCCAGAAAAACTTTAAAATCTAAGTTTCCCAGCCATAATGATAGGTCAATCACACCTCAGTACATACCTGCTTCCTCATGAACCATTACCAGGCTTCTTTCCAAAGAGTTAAAACAGAAATCAGCCCTAGAAAACCAAGATCTGGAGACTCTTTCACTGATTTCAACTTCAACCAACTGCCAGACTCCCTTCCCTTTCCCAATTTTGACATGAAAGCTGACCAGCTTACAAAACATTCCTTCCTGATCAATGACACTCAACCACGGACCAGTTCTGGCCAGTTTACAGAGGCAGCACACAAAGTGCTTTGGGTTCTGTTTTCCCCCTTTTGACATATAAAGGTGAATTCGACTGCATTTTAATGTCTCTACCTCAGAGTGAATATGGGACAAATATAACATGTTTTCTTGGTACACATGTGTGCAACTCTCATATTCATAAATTTTCCTAAAACTTATTAAACATGTATGTTTGGCCAGGCGCGGTGGCTCACGCCTATAATCCCACTGGCACTTTGGGAGGCTCAGGCAGGCAGATCACAAGGTCACAAATTCAAAACCACCCTGGACAACATGGAGAAACCCCATCTCTATAAAAAAAAAATGTATGTTTAGCCAATTCATTTAGTGTAAAACCCCTGTCCCACCCTCACTTCAATTCCTAGCTTGTAGGTTGCAACCCACTATAAGAAATAAAGTTCTCCTTTCCAAATGTAAAGATCTCGTGATTTTAAGCCGACATAATTGACAACAAGAGTAGGAACCATGGAGTGGCCAGGTTCCCCCAGCGTAAGTGAATGCACTGGTGCCTGGTGGAGCCATTGACAGCTCAGTTGTCTCCCTGACAGCTTTGGGAAGAAGATGGGTAAGCTCTCTCCAATCTAAGATCTTCCACTTTTGAGATCTCGAGGACTTCATTTTTCACCCTGATCCTTTCCATCCAGATCCTGTGAGGGCCATCTTTGTTGGCCCCAGGTTTCTAGTGGGAGTGCTCGGGGGCAGTCCAACCTGACTCATTCAGTCCATCAGGTTTTATGAGGATGCTTGCCCTCTAGTGGCACTCAAAGGAATGTCTTATGCTCTTCTGGGGAACCTAAATTCTAAGCAGACAGTCCCCTGACCAGCCGCCATCAGGAACATACATGTTTCAGAATTATGAGAAAAAGTCTTGTGAATATTTTGGATATTGGAAAAAGCTAACCTGGAACAATTTAAAGGTTTATGGGCCAAAATGGAGAACTTTTGACAGAGCATTTGACATACTAAAATTAGAATATTTGCATGC